CTATTTGTCCTTCAAGAATATCATCAAAAGAAATTGCAATAGATGTATCTTGTTCCATATCAAAAACAATAATGAATGGCAATGCAATATTATCAGCAAACAACACATATACGCCAGATTCAAGTTAATTTGTGTTGTTTATCAATATGTGTCTACATTACACTGTCCATTAATAGTTGTCATGATACAACATTACCTTTAGTCAAAGCCCAAATCTTGCTTGTCTGGTTTGAAAATAGTGTCATGTATCTCAATCTGCCTACATTATAAAAAAAGTGGTTGTGAGTCTATGACAGGGGATAAAATGGCTAGAATGAAATAATCCAAAAACATAGGACTCACAGCCAAGTGAAATATCCTAAAAAATGTATGTTAGTAGAATCCAGGCATCACAAAAAACCAAAAAAAAATATTAGGATTTTGAAGAACACGGCATCACCTATGAACTGCCATCTCCAACAGAACCACAACATTTATAACTTCGTAAATACAACCCAGTCCCTGATTCACTAATTCTGCAAATTGGAATTAGACATTAGTGATCCTAAAAAATTGGAGAGGGAGGTTAGTGCTGATGCAGTGCTACAATTTGGTATATTACCTGTGCGAATCTGAAAAATTAGAAAGAATTGAAACTCATGGAGTGAAGGAAACGGGCTATGGTGCTCTGTCAACTGCCACCAGGGTTCAAGTTCAAAAAAGAGGTACCGAAAAGCAAGCATTAACTTTGTAAAGAAAATCAAAACTATTTCAAACCTGAATAATAGGTAAACGCCGAAGAAGATGATGGAAAAAATGGATGCAGTCAAAATAGATTTTTCAGTAACACTTTTAGAGTTGAGATGGAAAATCAAACCAAATTTTTAATTGAAGCTATGTACGTACCTGGCCTACAATTTCTGCCCGAAGCTCCTCCTTTAATGGCCGCCAAAGCTCCTCCGTTAATGGCCGCCAGAATCCCTATGGTAGAAAAGATAGTCGGCGTCGTCGTCTTCTACCAGAACGGGCAAAAATAACAACTAAAGAGAATCCCTTGTAAGTAGGGTGTCGAACCTCAGGGAGACGTGAGTTAATTTAATTTAAACAAAAGTTTACAAAAGAAGTTGTAAAATATTTTGGTCTTTTTGGTTTTAAAGATAAAATAAAAAGTGTAAAAGAAGAGAGTTCCAAACAACACAAAGTTTTTGATGATAAAAAG